AACGGGTAATAATCTTTGTCACCCAAAAAATTATAGAAGCTATTTTTATTAAAGTTTTTTATTATTACTGTACACTAGTAAAACAAAACTCTGTAGTAACTGTGCTTAATCCTATTTTTTTAATTTAAAAAAGTGCACTTACTTGATTGAATTGTAAACATTGGTTATTGTTCTAAGGTTTATTTATTTATTGTTTTTGTTCCAGTAAAAACTTTAATTATAATTCAAGATCAGAATGATTGTCAGGTATAGAAGTCTAGATAATCTGAACGCCTTCAGTAATCTGTACTACAAATATGACTGTCAAGAATCAGTGTACAGTATAATATCAGATTATCCCGATTAATTAGTTTAAGTATATGTGCAAATTGTAAATCTGGACAACTGTATATTGTGTATCATCGAAATATAATAATGGATAATCCATATTACAGACATACACACATATCACCGTCAATATTGCATACTATAAAAAAACTATCTATAATTTGCATTATTTTTATTTTAATTTTTATTATTAAGATATTTCTTAATAATAACTTAGCCTATAACAGATATAGATATATTTTATTAATCTTTTTAAGGTGGCCCTTATTACAAAAATGCACATTTTCCACTTAACAAATTAATTTTGCATTGAGTGTTAAATTCTCAAAAATGAAATTGATAAAGAAATTGTAACTGTCGTTTTTAACTCACAGCACATATTCTTTAATACGATAATTAGCATATTACGTGATATAACGATTAACTGGACAAATACAGCCTAATACAGGGTTTAGACTTTAATCGAAATTGGGTTTTAGACATATAGCGGACGATAATGCGATTTTACATTTCTATTTTAAAATTTAATTACATTTAACTATATCACTTATCTGATACCTGATTTACATAATACCAAATTTTTCGAAATATATTTGATATTTCTGGGACACTGATAAAAAAGATAGACTTGAACTAAAGTCGTCATCGTTCTTGAAAAAATAATTTAGTGGCAAGAGAATTTATTTTAGCGTAAAAGAAAATATTTTGCCTGAAGAAAAACTCTCTTAACTCAAGAAAACTTGTTCTCTTGAAAAATTCAAAAATTTCTCTTGAATCTATTTTCATTCAGTCAAGTGCAAGTTACTTTGTTTAAAGATAAAAACAAAAATACGCTAGGAAGTACTTCATTCAAGAAACATGGCCATTTTTCCAATAGCTAAATACTCTTTTGATGAAAAATAATAACGACATGCAAAGACGATGACGATGGACGGTATATACATACAATCAGTCGGCAGTCCGATTAGTCTCACGTCGCATTTCATAGGGTTTTGTTGCTTGGAATTTTCCACTGGGAATTTTGCAAAATTTGCTTTTTAAACGCAAAGCGTATAACAAATTAGTGATCGTTATTAACATGCATTTGTCATTTTTTATGGACAAATTTTAGGATATATGGATTCTTTAAAGGAGTTTCTGAAAAAATGGAAATTAGAGCATTTATTTGCTATATCTGAAGGTAAGAGACATTTACCTAATGCGCCTGTATAGATAATGCATGAGACTATAGATAGAATAAGAATATAGGTATCGATTTTTTTATGCAAATAATTACAAAAATTCTAGAATTTCAAGTCGTCGTATTAAAAAAAAACAAAATGTGACCAAAGCTTATAATTTTAATAATTTGTTTTCTTTACTTTGATTAATCGTGATGTAACATTTTTTGTAATTTGTAGAATGATGAACCACCCAAAAAAATACCAAGGAGTGAAGAAGCAGAAATAACTACCTACTATCGAGGAAAATAATATCACTTTACTTACTACAAACTAGGAAAACCTAAATTTATCAGAAAATAATATACCTCGTAATATGCCTGTATATGATGTATAGACTTCTCTTAGATCAAAATAAATTTTAGTTGAGTTAATGGTATTCGCTATTGGTTTAAGAAAAGTGTCTCTTTAATCAAGAAATATCCCTTTTAAATCAAGAATTTTTGCATGAATCAAAGAGACTATTGTTCTTGTAGCAAGAACATCTTTGCATATTAATTTTGGGTCAAGAGTGAAATACTTTGGACAGATAGATTCTTCTATTCTCTAAAGTAATTTTTTAAAGCTTATGAAAAGATAGTTAATGCTTTGGGCAAAGAAATGTCGTTCTTGGCCCTATTGGAAAGCGCCAATCTTTTGGGTCAAAGTCATATTCATTTCGACTGAGAGATCCTTTTTTTCAGTGTAGTAGACATATTTAGGTTTGGTTTGGTTTTTAGTAGACATATTTAGGTTTTATTAATTATCTCAACTACCAGAAATAACCGAAAAATTAAGTTAGCATGGAGTATTCATATATATATTCAAATATGGAATGCCACTTTATCTAAAGAAGAAAACATTCGACCAATGTGTACTACCAGTCACCAGTGATGACCTATGTATGCGAAATCTGGACACTTAAAACGGACATGATAAGGAAACTGCAGGTCGGACAACGCTCACTGGAACGAAATAATCTTGAGAATCAAGTTTACAACCAAGAAAGACCGTAAAAGAATAAAATGGATACGACAAAAGACCCGGGTAATAGTAATAAACCCACCAAATTAAATCCCTCAAGGGGCAATGGGCAGGACACCTGGCAATAAGGACGGACAACCACAAAAACTACAGCATGGTATCCACGAGGAATTAAGAGACCTAGAGGAAGATCAAACCTGAGATGGGACCATGACATTAGGAAATTAGCTGGGATAACAAGAAGAGAACAATAGAGAATAATGCAATGGGCCCAACTACAAAGAGAGTATCTAAATATGCTTAGGTGGATGGGCAAAGATAAAGAGCTCCTATCAACAGTTAAGGAAAGGACGTTACAGTCCGTCGGCCACATAATGAGGGGTGACGATTTAGAATTTAGAATAAGTGGGAGGGGGGTTAATCTCTGCGACCTTAGAGATCTATTGTGTCCCCCTTTCTTGATTTATAACTCATCATACAGTCCCAGGACTTCCTACGGAGACCCGTCGAGGAGTCTCTCACAGTCGAGGAGCTACGACCCAGGCCGGGTAGACGAAACGGTAGCTTGTGTCGCCTGTTGGGTTTAGAGGTAGGAGGTAGGCTCCCGACCCTTGGTGGAGGTGGTAGCTTGTATGCCACTTGCGGAGGATGGTCTCACGCAAGTGTCAGCCACCTCTCCTGTAGTTCTCTTTGGGTTTGGCCCCTTGGAACTTTCATTGTTACTGTTCCCAGTGTCGCTAGGGGGTTTCCCCACAGCTTCACCGGTGGTGTTTTTATTACTATTATTACCAGATCTCATAGTGTTCCTATGAGTCGCTAGGGACAGTCGGTCCACTTCTACAGAGCCACGCATGTAGAAGTAAGGGGTAAAATACAATGGGGTGCCCCCCGGTGCCCCAAGGTTGAGGCTGTCCGTAGCCCCGCCCGGTATCGTTATATGTCTTGGTGCAATTCCCTGGCCACGACACTACAGTCAGGGACAAGACGATGAGTGAGATGCTTCTTAGACCAAGCCAAGTGCTAGGGGGACTCCCCCCAGCACCTGACCAGGAGCTTCCCCACCAACGACAAGGTCTTGCATCTCCTAGGGGAAGGAGGGGTGATGATACGAAGTACTCAGGCTGGTCATTGAAGGTAAAATTGAGTAACTTCCTTCTGCTTTTTTAATTATAGTACTATAAAAACTTGAAGAATGCTTAAATGCAAAAACTGTAAAACAAAATCCACAACAAAATCCAAACAATCAAGTAAGGTTATGTTCTCACATTTGACAGAATATCAAATAAATTATGGAAACTGTTCAGGCACAAAACGGGTACGAAATCTGTAAACGTGAGCCACATCAGTTTCTTAAAAGATTCGAAAAATATGTGACACTAAGGTCTTTATTGTTATAGCTTATGTAGTAAAACTATATTTTGGTAAAATGTTTCGAAATAAAAAGCGATTTATGTTACGAAATACAGGGTGCGTCTTAAAAGTGGCTCCCCCTATAACTTTTTTATTTTTTCAAATAAAAAATCGAGATCTGGTATATATGACATAAATTAGGATTGATTGACGTATTCAGTGGTTTTCTGTCACTTCCTGATTCACCGGAAATGACTAAAACTTTTGATTTTTAAATGGCACCCTCGGTATTTTGTTGCTTTATTCGATAGAAAATGACACTCTGAATATATATGTAACGTATATGATGTAACATATCATATGTCAACTTTTGACATTTTCGAATATGGTTTATTTGGAATTGTAACATGCGATTCGTAACGACAATTTGACTCGAAATACCAAGTGTGTGGTACCAAATTATTCGTAAAAAAATGCTTTTTCGAAATATGCTAATGAGCCGCCCTCGTTCCATTTGAAAAATTGAGATATGATTAAAAATACGATTTGTGCATCTTTAAAACGGCCAGGACAAGACACGAATAATATTAGACGATCAAATCTATTTTTCCAAGACTCCTTGATTAAAAATCAGTGTTTTGAACACAGCCATGGCACTCTAGATTGAAATTTAAAATTCAATTTTGTTTTAGGCAAAAATGTCATTCTATTTAGAATGTTATTTTTTATCGAATAATGTAAAAAGATACCGAAGGTGCCATTTAAAAATCAAAAGTTGTAGTCATTTCCGGTGAAACAGGAAGTGACAGAAAACAATTGAATACGTCAATCAATCCTAATTTATGACATATACTAACATACTAAATCTCGTTTTTTTTATCTGAAAAGATAAAAAAGTTATAGGGGTGAGCCACTTTTGAGACGCACCCTGTATATGTGTCAAAAATGTTGTTTCGCAATGTTTCTCAGCAGAGATTTTGTTTTGATTTTTACACTTGATAGTTTACACTTGATAACGGTTAGTGATACATCTGACCGAAACGTGTAAGTTAAAATAAATAAAGACAATGGGAGTACTAAAAGGTGTTAACTAAACAATTATTTAGCCAAAAATGTTGGATTAAAATTTTGAAACTGCAGTTAGTTTAATATACCACCTTTACTTTACACTAACATAATTTTGACAAGACTTTTTTTAAACATTTCATACACCATTTTCATTTTTTCTTTCCACCACACTTCTGGTCTTGCACAAACTTCTCCCCCTTGGCGATTTCTTTCTTCAGCGGTTCCAGGGCCTCGCAAACCATCTTCTGTTCGGCGTCGGACAGCTTTCCCAGCCCCAGGTTTTTCTCGATGCCGCATTTCCCCAGCACGAGCGGCGTTGCAAAGTACTTCACTTCCGGTACCACGTCGCTTAATACGTAAGCCGATTCCACGATGTTGGCTTCGCCATCCAGGGCTCGCAACATGGAGAAGGTTAGGCGGGAGGCGGCGTAGGCCATGGATAAGGTTGCTGACCCTTTGCCTGCCTTGGCTTTCACCACTTCGGTACCGGCGTCTTGGACTCTTGTTATTAGTTTGCTTAGTTGTTCACCTTCGATGCATGCTGGGGGGGTTGATCTGTAAATATAAATATGTTTGTTCACGACCACTTTATAATAAATCAATATTCTACTTCCTAGCTGAAGGAATATGGTGCCCATATTTGTAATAGAGTGGTATATAACAGCTGATAACAGTGAATTATAATAAATCACAATTTGCATTTACTTTACATTTGTTGTTATGCCAACGTGACACTCACAACATCCCGATAATACCTGGGCATACGAGGCTTTGGGCCTTAAGCTAAACATCGACAAAACTAAAGTCATGTGCACTCCCCCGGAAGATCACAACAACGCTATAAAAATCAATCAAAATCAAGGAATTCAATTACCTCGGCAGTTTGATTTCGGAAAAGGCCAATATTGACTCTGAAATTCTGCACAGGATTAGCAGCGCCTCAAGAGCATTCTGGAAATTAAAAGACAGGGTTTTCTACAATCATGACTTGAGTACAAAAACGAAACATGCAGTGTACCGAGCAATTATAATCCCCACCATGTTATATGGGAGCGAAACCTGGGTGCCGTACCGCCGACACATGAACGCATTAAACAAGTTGCAACAGAGTAGTGATGGGTTATTATATCTGTTATTTTATAACAATTATTTAGAAATAACATAACGCAACCGTTACTACTTTTAAAAAATAACAGATATAAAATAACAACACGCAGAGATCGACTGTTCGTTAAACGAAGTCGGCGCTCTACACCGCCACGAAATTCGATGCTGCTCGAAGCAATTCCAAAAAACAACTAGTATGGATTAGTGTTGGGAAAATTCGAATTAAATAATACGACTAATTCGATAGTAAATTAAAACTAACTAATTCGAATTATCTTTTTCGATATAATCGAGATAAAAACTAAGACGTAATTTACATGATTAACTACGAGTAGTTTTTCTTCAAAAACTACGTCTTTTCCCGTACATTAACTACATGAAAACTACGTTAATAAACTATGTATTGATATTATGATTAATTTTCATTTGTATGAGGTGTAATAGAGATAATATGATGTAAATATTAAATTTAAAGCCATATTTCTTCTGTTTTCTTAAATTCATTATGTGTTTTTAAAGCTTCAACTTATTATAACCTCACTTCAAACCTTTGATATTTGACATAGGTTACATAAACTACACCCTCTACATAAACTACATTAACTACATGTAATGTAGCTTATGTAGTTTTTAAAAGTAACATGTAGTTTTCCGAACCCGAATTACAAATGAACATAAAACATAACCTCTTATTGCTCTTATGGACGAATACGAATATTAGTAATTAGTATAGTACTATTAGTAGTATTCTTTCGTTCGGAACGAACTGAAAATTTTCACTTAAACTGATTTATAAAGGGAATCGACAAAGAAAGGAACGATCCGATATAGAAAAATCCAGAAATCATTGTTATTTCCTATACCACGTAGGAATAAATCAGTTTAAGTGAAAATTTTGATTTTGTTCAGAACGAAAGAATACTACTATTATTTGGTTCATTTCCATCTCACCCAAATTTCACCGAACACCTGCCGAACACTAAAATTAATTTTCTTCTTTTATCTAAATAATTATTGATTGCAACTGATAAAATAAAAAGAAATACGAACCGCACGTAAACAAGGATATACTTATATCGTTTTAGAAGAAGCTTAGATATGAGCTTTTCAATAGGAATTGAAACAATCATAAACTCGGCACTTTTAAATTTAAAACTTTAAATTATGCTTTAATTTATTAAACGGCTTCAGCACAGTTAATAGAATACATTGAATAAAGATTTTTTTTATATTTTTTATTCAGTGATAGAATATAGGTATGGCAATGGTTCAGAATTTGTTTAAAATAGCCCCTAGACGAGCACTAGCTGGGACGAATTTATTTTTAGGTTAAATTTATAATACTACTAAATAATTCGAATTATTAATTCGATTGTGAAATATGAATTATTACTAATTATTCGATTATTCCCATCATTAGTATGGATGGAAAACATGTTATTTCGACAACCATCGATACAGGCGGCGAGATACAACGGACAACGGAGTGGGGTATGCGCTACGGCGCGGCGCGGCGTGTTGGGCTTACAACAGCTTAAAAATAATAGGATATAAAAGAAGCAGCTTTTTTGAAACAGTTGCGGGCATAACGCCTGGCGGTCGAGATAACAGGAGTGGGAAAGGAACGCTGCTGCATCGGTCGATTGTCGATGGAGGCTCGCAACGGGTTGGAAAATAACGCATCAGCTGTTTTAGCTACGTTGTTCTTTAAACTGTTACGAGCATAACAGAGCGGCGGTCGAGATAATCGGAGTGGGAAGGTAACGCTGCTGCATTGGTCGATTGTCGATGGAGGTTCGAAACAGGTTGGAGAATAACGCATCAGTTGTTTTAGATACATTGTTTTTCAACCTGTTACGGGCATAACGGGCGGAGGTCGAGATATTATGGCGCTGTATGTTTCAGTACTTGGTTATTAAGTTTCAATATTTAGACATTTATTTATTCTGAAAAAGTTTCGGAATAATATTTTAAGATTTTTTAAAAATGTATAAAAATGGTGTTTCGAAAAATCTGGTCATTGATTAATCACGATCCTGCTTAAAGTCCTTGACGTAAAAAGCTGATCTTTGGAAAACGGATTGACTTTACGGTGATAAGAAGGGATTTTTCGAAACTCAAATTCTAAGGGGATGAAACCACCCTCAAATATTAGAATATTTTTTATTTAAAAACTGGTGAGTTTTTCGAAAAAACTCTTAAACACGTATATTTTATTTTGTTGTTTTATATATTTTAAGATTTTTAAAAAATATATACAGGGTGTTTCATAAAATATGACCATTCAGTAATCATGATTCTGCTTAAACTGCTTGATGTTTAAAGTTGATTTTTGGTAAACGGATTGACTGTGGGGTGTAGATGTTCGATAAGGAGGGGTTTCTCGAATCTCAAATTCCAAGAGGGTGAAAACGCCCCTCAAATATTACAATATTTGTTATTTAAAGAACGGTTAGTCTTTGGGGAAAACGCTTGGACACGCATAATTTATTTTGTTTTTTTACATATTTTGATTTTTTTTTAAAAATCATACAGGGTGTTCCAAAAAGTTGAGTAATTGATTAACCACGATTCTGCTTAATCTGCTCGACGTTTAAAGCTTATTTTTGGCAAATGTGAGAAAATTTTATCCAGTTTATATGTTAATGGAAATTCTTGCTTTGCTCTATATCACCATTATAAATTAATAATTCGACGCGAACGAAGTCGCGGGTACACGCTAGTTTAAGTGTAAAATTAATTCGAACTCTAGTGTGTAGTTGGTTTACTGATGAAGAATATACTACACATTTTCTTATATTGCTATTTTTTGACCGCAAATGGTAAAATCATAACTAAGAGCTTCTCGCCCGTCGAGTGAGATGCACCCTGTACACTGCTACGCAATTCGGGATCTACGCGGATCGAGAGGCAGAGCGTAGGTAGATCGGAATGTATAGGTATAGACGAGTGACGGCATTTTGGCTTTTTTATATCGCAATTTGTAAAACAGCGCTTATTTGTAAACAACCACCGTTTTTAGAGAGGTATTTTAGATAACAATCGATATTCAGAAATGTTATGACACCCTGGAAATACTACCACCGAGCACGTCATTTTTGCAACTTGCAACTGCGTTAATACGCCTGGCGGTGACCGCCTCATACTCTTTCAGATATTTAGCAGTAAAATAAAGAAACCTCTTATTTTTAAGCTGTTATTTTAAGCTGTTTTTTATAAATAACTATTACAGTTTCAACTGTTATCTAAAAATAACAGTTTTGCCCATCACTATCCCGATGCGCGGCGTGGATGATTTGACGTTTTTCTTATCTTTTCTTTTTATTAATTGTGCGTTTAAAATTGTCAAATGTTCAGTAGGTGGTGATTATTAAGTGGCATATCAAGAACTCGTTTAAAATCAAAAAATGAATTATGAGAGTGATAATGAGTTTTGTACGCCACCAGAGATAGCAGAGGCGGCCAAATTAACAAGTCTTGGATTGCTACCACAAAAGTCTAAGAATTATTACATGTCTGCCTATAAAAACTTTCTAGGCTGGAGGATTGCTAAAGGCATAAATTCGTTTTTTCCAAATCCGTGTTATTAGTATATTTAGTTATCAATCTCCTGATTGACTAAAGAATGTTGGTACGATATTTTCATGCAAAGAACTTGAAATAATATCAATGAAATTCAAATACATATATCTATAACTTTAAATAAAACATAAATTACCAACTTTAGTTACACAAAACAACAGAAAGTCAGATGCTGCTACTCCAATTTATCGTTCTCCAACAACTGTACTCAACTAAAGTTGGTAGCAAAAAACTTGAAGCAGCATCAATAAAATTCAAATACATATATAACGATAAATAAAACACAAATTACCAACTTTAGTTACACAAAACAACAAAAAGTCAGCTGCTGGTTGTACGATCTATCATTTTTCAACAAATTTATTTTACTAAAGGTGGTAGAAAAAAGTACTACTATACAGGTATGTCGTAAAACACATCTAATAATAAACTTCCCAAATATTTGAAAATAGAATAGTTCGAGATGACTGCGACTCTCGATGCATAGCAACTGATGATATTGACGTTTTTATTATCTTTTAGTTAATTTTGACGTTTGAAATTGCCAAATTTTAAGTAGGTAGTGACATTTTCCCCTAAAACATGAATACAAGAATTAATAGTAAGATTAACATTATATATAGTATTCAACTCGCAATTTATAGCCATTATTCACACGAGTGACTTGCGCAAACGTCACCCTGCGTTAATAATGGCTAGCATAAATTGCTCGTTCCATAATATACTATTTGTGTAGTATGAATAATTATCATGAAATACCGTACGATAAAAAAATCGGCGTCAAAGATGGCTAGAGTACTATTTGCCATGATACCTACTTAAAGAATTTCGAACTTTCATTGTCTTTATTTAATTTTACTCAGCGTTCATTAATTACGTGAAAACAACCATAACAAGCCCTCCTAGTCCTCCTAGTTGCGCCACTGGGAGGGAGTCAAAAAGTCCTTAAAAACGCCTAATCTACATAACGCAACGTTTCGCTCAAATGAACCTATTACAGAGATTTCAAGTGTAAAGGTAAGTGTACTTATTAAACAGGTTTGTGCAAACCGCACCCTCCTATCTTCACTAATAACGGAGATACCGTATGATTTCAACCAAAATGGGATACCCTGTACAACTTTGAAAAACACACCTCACTGTAGTATTGAGCAATTAAAAGGATTGGAAGAAAGAAACGTTTGCTCAGCTTGTAAAAGACCAAATCATAACGTGGTATACTGCTGCTTTCAAAATAAAAGCAGATTTTGGACCGAAAAACACAATCGAACATCACAACATCCTTCAGGTAGAAATCTACGCTATCGAAAGATGCTTACAATTTATCCTAGATATGAACTATCGAGAACAGGAAATAGCGCACGAAAAGCGATCAACTCAGTAACCATCAATTCGAAGTTGGTCAAAGAATGTGTAGAGAAGCTGAACAAATTAGTCTAAGAAAATAAAGTCCTCCTACTCTGGATGCCCGCTTACCAAGGGATAGAATGTAATGAAAAAGCAAACTAGCTAGAAAAAGAGCGAACACACCACTAACTGGACCAGAACCAGTTCCGCTTTCCAAGAGGAAACACAAATTTAAACCGGAACTCAAGAACATGCGATAATACGGAACAAGAACTTAAGAACAATCTTCGGATTGTCACGGGGTTTCTAACAGGACATTGTTTCCTCAACGAATATCTCAGTAGATTGAAGTGGAGGAACAACGGCGAATGCAGATTCTGTAGGGAAAATGGGGAAACACCAGAATACCTCATCACTGAGTGCGCCGAGACGACAACCGTTCGTGCCATAAACTTTGGTACTGCTGATGTCAGAGATGGAGAGCTGGCCTTTGTGGAGCAGTCTCAAATACTGTCTTTTGTCAAAGTCCTGAGAATCTATGTTGACACAGAACCCCCTCCTAAATATTCTACATTATCTCTCTTCTACATTCGACTCTGGGGTCGCATACTGGGCCTGACTACGCCACACTGGTAACAATACTAAATCTTTGTCTACCACAATCAAAGAAACTATCTAATATGCAGCGTTGCCAATGGTCCAAACTTATATTCCACGGCGAACATACCCAAATTCCACAAAATTCCACAATCACTAGCCAGGGGCGCTATTCTGTACAATCGTCGGTATCGGCAAGTTACCGACAGCTATCGGTACGTACGGCCAATGAGCGTCGTGTTGATTGTTGTTGTCATAGTTACCGGTAGAGATACCGATTTTCGTCGGTACAAATTTACGATATCTGCCGATATAGGACCGATCGGTAACTATGACAACAACAATTAACACATTTTTACTATATACAAATACGTATCGAGAGCTGTCGTAACTTACCGATACCGACAATTTTACAGAATAGCGCCCCAGGTTCGGTCTTTAGGTCTGCGACCAATCCGACATTTTTTTTATATAAACCACGTGATCTTAAAGGGATTTTACATAATATAGTGACGTGTGATATGTCGAAAATTTCGTTGGATTGCTTGCAGATCTAAATACCCAAATACGTTTAAACTACCTATACCGCGGCCTCCCCATAAGAGCAATGAGAGATATTATGTCCCAGTATTGAAGGAGGACAGAAAATCAAGTCGAATGGTTTCAAGACATAGGTTCATCCTTGTTTAGTCAAACCTCCTACCACACAAGGATAGACTTATGTAGGAAATGCATTGAAATTCTATAGTCATCCTTTAACATCGGGACAGGAATTTAAGCGGTACCCTCCGTATAGGTAATTTAAACGTATTTGTAAATACCGAACCTAGCTGCTGACCTCCACGGCGACGCTCTTTTTACAGAAATCTGTAAAATTATGATGAGTCTTCTAATTTTTTTTTACTATTAGCTAAATAAGGGGAAAAAAAGGAAAAAAAGAATAATTCCGAAAATTCCACAAAATTCCACATTTATTCTATTCCACAAACGTTCCACAACATTATTACGAATTCCACACTTTTTGTGGAATTCCACAAAGATTGGCAACGCTGCTAATATGTATAGAATTATCGACTTGAATATAGCGTAAACTTTAAACCTCCCCACGGTGAATAAACATTTAATTACTCGAAACTAAGAATTTTTTCAAGGCAGAGAATGAACCCCCCACAAAGGACAAAGGTTGGTTTTATAATGCTTAAAAATAATAGCACTTTTCTCACCTAGAAATTAGGGGTATTATAGTGATCCCAGAGTGACCACCTATAACAGGAATATTTACAGTTTTTGGATCGGCTCCTATTATTCCAGCTACAAAGGTATTAGTTCGCACCGAATCAAGCGTGGAACATCCGAATATCTTTCTGGGATTCAATTTCCCAGCGTCTTTAAGCACCTCGCAAGCGATTGGAACGACTGCGTTGATGGGGTTCGTTATAATGATTAAAATTGCGTCCGGACTGTGCTCTGCCATACCCTGCAAAAACACATTGTATAGAAATAATGACATACAACTTTTTTTTAGCTCACAATTGATTTGGGCAAAGCGTGATGTGTCGGTATTTGAGTAACGCGATTTTGGAGCGGTATTTTTTTGTAACGTCGTGTCGCGCTCAATAACGAATCAGGAACCTGTTATTGAAGAACGACGATCATAATGACGACAAAATTATAAATGATTTATAATTTGCAAATAAATTATTTAAGGTATGATTCCGAAGACGGCGACAGCGACAAGCGACCGCGACAGGCGATAGCGACACCTGTCGTTACTATGTTGCGACTCCATCGATCTTTTAGAATCAAATGGAGTAACGTCGGAGTCCGACGACAGGTGTCGCGCGACAGTTTTTATCCAACATGTCGTCTAAGCGACCGACGACGCTACCGGTATTTGTCCAGTACTGTAGTGTCGTCATTCATATGCACACGCAGATTTTTGACAAAAATTGATTTTACCGGGGAGGAAGAAGACAAATTAATTAATTTAGTATGTAAATATCCTACTCTCTATGATACTAGTTTTAGGTTGAAGTTCGTTACCAATTAAACTAAGTACAAAGTTGAATTGTTTTTATATTTAAGCGACAATAGCTTCTAAAAGTCGTCTCATCGCTGAATAAATGTTTTTTTTATGAGTAAGGAATAACTTCCTTCGCTAGGTCTGGTTTTAAACTGAGGAAAAATGGGTTTTCTTCTTTTCTTTGCAACAAGTAACAATAATATTTCGACCTCTTCATCGTAGATCTCGCTCATATTGTCGCCGACATCGACAATGATATGACGACAGCGATAAGCGACACTGTCGCCTTTGTCTGTCGCGGTCGCTTGTCGCTGTCGCCGTCTTCGGAATCATACCTTTATAATCGCTCTTGAAGTTAGCTGGAACCGTAGTAACCGCATAGCGACGTGTTTGGCTCCAGCCGTCGCGATTTCGTCGGTCGCCAACATTAGTATCTGGAAATGGTATGTCCGTAGCGCCGTACGATCTCGATCGGGACGTGTTCGCTCCAGCCGTCGCGCTCCTAGAGTTGTAGTTCCCTGTCGCGAAGAAGTACTGCTGTAACTGATTATCGACGCTCGACTTCGGCGGCGACTTACTTCGTTCCAGCAGTCGCTGGAGCGCTTCTAGGGTTTCGTTTTCGCCTGTCGCGATTTGGTCGGTTACTACTGGCGTTGGTGCTCCCGTCGCTACGTTACTTTCGAAATAGCGATTTTTGGTATGTACTAGGCATGGTATAAAATAGCGTTGTTAGAAAGATGCAACGTAAAAGCAAATAAAATAAAAATGTTATTTGCTTTTATACATTTATATAAGTTTTATTGCTTATATCTATTTTTAAGGCCTAATGATGGCTGGAATTGCCGAAACCGGTCACAAATAAAGAATTTTTTTGACAGTGGTTTGGACTTTGTTCTTGATTTTAACATTAAGTATATAATATATTATGTTGCAATACAACATAAATATGAGCCGTTAAAGACAATACGTCATTCCTTGAGATTTCTTTAAAAATTAAAATATAATGCTACTTCCCGCAATATAATGAACTAAAGCATTATAGCGACAGGTAATCAATTTCGCAAGCAACTAATTATAGTTTAACTAACTTATTTTATTTTTGTACTTCTCAGCATCGAAATTTTTTAAAAATATAGGGCCATTTTCTTTAAAGTAAACACCGCTCTCCTTAGGCGTTCTATTAAGTTCATTATCTAAGTTCATGGCACGAATGGTTGTAACAGCTGGTACAATTGTAAGAACCTGACAACACTGGTTGGGAGTGCCAGGAACAATGCCAGAAATATTGCATAAGTGAGGACCTCGGCACTGTGGAAGTCGGAACGTCGATTACAGAATAGCGGTATTTTTCTGGAACGGTCGTTACTGTAACGTAACTCATGTGGAACCGGTATTCCCATCACTAATTGCCATATCGTGTATACTTGTCAATTGCAATATTGTTGAAATCTATGCCAAATGTTAGTTACAACGTTGGTACCAATGTTGGATGCATCGTGTAGGACCTGCTTTAGAAATTTTGTAAGTCATCGGTAATCTTACTTCAGATATAAACTTCTTACATCAGACATACCTTAAGCAAAGTGTATTGATCTGAAGATTGGAGTGTTGACTGAATAAAAATGTTGATATGTATAATACTTAAAGATAAAAACAAAAGTACCCTATTATTGTTTTATATGTCTAGATATAACTTTAAATTTTATTTTAAACGTTAAAGTTATTCATTTACAGGCAAATTAGTTCAGTCATTGGGGATTTTTGCTTGGAAAAAAGTCCGGAAGTTTTGCAGCTTTGCAGGTTTATAGGTTTTGGGGTCCCTAACTAAAATCCATAAAATGCACATTTCCAGACTTGTCGCCTGGAATGGCGCCCGAAATCGGTATTTTGTAAATATCTCGAAAACTATGCGTTTTTCGCGAAAATTTGAGGAGAGCAAAATTAAAGAGAATAAAATTTCCTATAAAAAAGGTTTTATGAGAATTTTCGCTAAAGTCAACCGTTTAGGCACAAAATCCCTGGAAATTTTACAATTTTGCGTAAAATATGATATATTATGTATGGTCGATTTTCCGAAATCAAATGTCGATTAGGGTTCACTAAAACTAGTTTTAGTTTAGTTTCTTCAATTTTGTCATAAAACAGTGGCGTATCATTAATTCGCTTATTAATTTATGAATAATTAATTTTAATTATTGAAAATGTGTACTTGTTTCCACACCACCAAAGAGGTAAAGTATATGGCGCGTTTATTTTAACGTTGTCTCCCCGGAAGCGTACTCCACTAGATAAATTAAAAACTTTAACTTATCTGCACAAGCCCGACGGATCTGGCTCATTGATGTCAAAGTCGATTGTGTCTGCTGTGCTGGGCTCATCAGGGTGGTCTCTCAATACGTCCAACCAAACCAAACTCTTCATCTTCAGCAGCCAGAGGAATATCTACAGGCAAGTCCAACTCCTCTTCATCCGATTCGTCGAGTGACACTTCAGTGACGTTGTCACAGGATGTTCCATTGCAGTATGCACAAATCATTGAACATTGTAATCCTGCTTTTCTGCATTCGCAGGCTTTACCATGGTTGTTGGTTTTGCATTTACAGGATAAAAATGCCAACAAGGATTTTGGAGCTGGATCTTTCAACGTTGTGACTGGAGTAATGCCCGTTCTGGTTTTCTTCCAACCCCATTCTTCGGCATCTTTGGTACAACCAGACCAATGCTGAACCTGGTGGTAAGTTCGCAATGAATGCTGTCCAGCACGACAATTAATTATTCATAAATTAATGAGCGAATTAATGATACGCCACTGTTTCATGACAAAATTGAAGAAACTAAACTAAAACTAGTTTTAGTGAACCCTAATCGACATTTGATTTCGGAAAATCGACTATACATAATATATAATATTTTACGCAAAATTGTAAAATTTCCAGGGATTTTGTGCCTAAACGGTTGACTTTACGGAAAAAAAATTATGAAACCTTTTTTATAGGAAATTTTATTCTCTTTAATTTTACTCTCCTCAAATTTTCGCGAAAAATGCATAGTTTTTGAGATATTCACAAAATACCGATTTTGGCGGCGCCGCACAGTGGGCAAAAATCCAGAAGTATGTTGCAAAATTTCTTTTTTTGTTCGATTTTATTCAAATTTGGTAAAAACATTCTATGCCCGTAGGCCGTGAACCCTGTTAGTTTTGGCTGACTTGGGAGTGGTTGGGGGTGGTGGAGGGGATTCATAAAATGGAAAAATCATCTTTTGACTAATACAGCTACCAAAATGCGGTAAGAATATTTTACATTTCACTAAATTTTACGATTTTTGGCAGAGCCAAGATGAAACAGACAAATATTGAGCAATTATTACTCCTCCGCCATATACAGGGTTTGTTTTATATATTGACATCCTCTGTATCTTTTTTATTCGACGTTTTCGATAAAGGTGTCTTGAATAAAAGTTTAATGGTCTCGAATACATTTTTAAAAACAGTCTTCTTTGCATATACAGGGTGCCTTAGAAATCCTGTCTGTGGCCCAACTTTCTTATTTCAAATTAGTACCCAATTTTATATTTTATTTTTATTTTCTCCTAAAAATCCTAACTACATTTTTATAGCATAGCCTATACCTAATTTGAAATAAGATAGTTGAACCACGCCCCGACTTTTTGAAGCACTTTGTATATGCGAAATAGACTTTTTTGGTAAATTTATTCAAAACCACTTTCATTTGAGACAGTTTTCGGAAACGTCAAATAAAAAAGATAAAGGGGGTGTCAATGTATAAAAGAAAACCCTAGTATACTAATCCAATCGAACTTCTATTCAAGACTGTTTGTCATTTGAATAAGTTGGGTCTCTAATAATACCAGACAATATGTGAACAATATTTTATTATTATATTTTAAATAAGTAACAATATTCTGAGAATTAAACAATGACGATTTAGAAAATAACAGAACTTATACCTATTAAAAATATCTAAATTTTATTTTACCACCTACTATTTACTGATATTTTGTTTTATAACAGCTGGAAGCAATGGTCACGAAGTGCACATTTTTAAATCTGAAAGAAAAATCCATTTTATTTAATTTAAAAAATTAGGTACGGTCAAAATTTGTCAATTTGTCAAAAAATGTCATTTGACATTTATGACATACTTCTTCGGAAATCTTGAGAAAAGTTACGTAACTTTATATTTCAAGTTCTTCTCTAGCTCTAGCTACTATAACAATTAATTTATGAGAATTATCCACATAAAGGATGTTACTATACACATACGCATGGAGGCTTACGCTTCCAATAAATTTAATGTTGCGATTTTTTGCGATTTTTTTGACTTAACTTTTCTAAGATAGAATATATGCCACTATCAAAAAAACCATAAATGATTATGTTCTACTTTGACCTTTACCTAGTTTTTATCCAAAAAATCAAAATAAAAGATGCTTTTTTACTTACCTTCATATTAAATTTACCGCAACCGGGAATCTACGTAAAACACGTTATGACAATTTTACAATAATTATTGACAGTAAGCTAAGGTCGTCCGATTCAATTGTTATAATACTGTGTCACCTGAATGCACGCCTACTATTTAAAAAATTGTAGAAAAAAAGCAGTTATTGGACACAAATTAACTGAAAATGTAGGTTTTGCGCAAAGTTCGTTTTACAGCCCCTCGAAAGAGACTCCGAATATGTTTTTTTGTTAGTTTTATGTGGTTTCCTCTTAACTAATATGTTTTCAATCTAATGTTATTGCCATAAATGCTAACTGTGGATGTTATTTTTTGCAACTTGGTTTGGACATATCGCCTACTGTGCGCCGGCGGCAAGTCTGAAAATGTGCATTTTATGGATTTTAGTTAGGGACCCCAAAACCTATAAACCTGCAAAGTTTCAAAACTTCCGGACGTTTTTCCAAGCAGGCCCCGTTTTTGATCCCCAATGACTGAACTAAATCAAATCAGTGAAAAATAGACAGTGCTTTTTAGACATAGCATTGTATATTTGATACTAATTAAACTTTTAGTTACGTAATCGAGGGCGCGATTTTTAAATTCATTGTTGCCAACCATGGACATATTCGGCGCCGTGCTGACTAACTGGAATTTAAATTTCGCGCTGGAGATTCAGGTGGTACCTCTGCTGTAAAAAATGTCACGTTGCCGCATTTATTTATTTATTTCCTGACATTTTCATTCGTTTTGACACTTTAGTTTTGACTTTATTAGAATATTTTACAGTAAAGTGGTAGTAATGTCACCTAAGTGCTGTTAAGAAGGTGAGTTTTGTTTATATAAATAATAACTGTTTATATCTATCTATCTATTCAGCCTCTTCGGTCCATCGTTGGACATAGGCCTCCCCCAATCTCTTCCACTCTTCCCTCTCTGTCGCCATGTTCATCCATCTTGTGCCTGCATGTTTCCTCAGATTGTCCGCCCATCTCATCTGGGGTCTTCCTCTACTTCCTCTATTCTCCCAGGGCCTCCAGTTTACGATGCATTTGTTCCATCGATCATCCTTCTGTCTGACATTGTGACCGGCAAACTTCCATTTTAATTTTGCTACTTCACTTCTAACATCCCTTACTTTAGTTTTTCCTTTGATCCACTCATTCCTTTTTCTATCTGTCAGCCTTATATATGTAGCATTTGTCTTTCCATAGATCTTTGAGATTTTGTTACCTTATCCATATTTGATTTTGTCAGTGTCCAGGTCTGGGATCCGTAAGTAAGTACACGGAGTACACATTGATTATATATTTTGGTTTTGAGGTACTGTGGATATCTTTTGTTTTTTAATATATATATAAATTCGGGTCAGAACGTCCTACCACGTTGTCCGATGCCTAACTTCCACACTGTGCGATTTTCCCATTGATCTTCGGTCAGATTTTTCTCGCTCATCGACCTTCTTATTCCTTCCATCCATGTTTTCTTGAGACATCCTCTCTTTCGTTTACCAGGTGGTATCCAATGAATGACTTGTTTTGGAATTCTTTCATTGTGCATTCTCTGAACGTGGCCGTACGATATTAATTGTTTTTGTTCTATATTATTTACTATTGTTCCCTCTATTCCCATCTGTTGTCTAATGTCTTCATTTCTGATCTTATCCCTCCATGAAATTCTCATTGCTCTTCTAATCGCGTCCATTTCTGTTGTCTCTAATTTCCTTTTATTCCTTTCAGTGAGTCGCCATGTTTCACATCCATAGAGTAATATGCTTTTAACTAGTGTCTCGTATATATTATATTTCCTGTTTTTTTGTAATTTCAGTGCTTCATAGAATGCCATTTATGCATCTGATAACTCTTCGTGCCTGTATTACTCTGTTGTTTATTTCTCTATCGTCCGTTCCATCTCCTGTAAATATCGATCCCAGGTACCTGTAATCTTCACATGCCCTAATTTCCATATTATTGTCCAAAATAAGATTTTCTGTATTAGCTCCAATTGGAAGGTATTTTGTTTTTTCTTTATTTACTGTGAGACCCCATTTAGCATATTCTTCAATTATTTTCCGCACCATATATTCAATTGTTTTTTAATATGTAACTTAATTTTCCAAATGCTGCCCAGGCCAGTCTTACTCGTCTCTTTATTTTAGCTGTTTGGTTTTCTTTTTTCAGTTTAATCATTTGTCCCAGATATATATATACTCTTCAACTTGTTCTATTTTTTCTTGGTTTATTCTGGTTGTTATGTTTTCATCTGTGTGTGTTATGATTTTAGTTTCAGTGTAGTTCATATTTAGGCCTATTCTTCTAGCTGCTGTATCCAGTTCTTCCAGCATTTCTACCAGTTCTTCTTTCTTTTCTGTTATTAAGGCGATAACATCCGCATATCTTAGGTGATTCAAGTGTTGTCCACATATTTTGATACCTTTTTCTTCCCAGTCTAAATTTTTGAAAACGTCTTCTAATGCCTGGTTAAAGAGTTTAGGGGATATTGTATTACCCTGTCTGACACCTCTTCCTATGCGAATTGGCTTTGTTCCTTCGTGGATTTTAATTGTTGTTGTTGCTTCGCTATATATGTTGGCTATTAAGTCTGCGTATCTGTAGTCTATCCTGCTATTTATTAAGGAAGTTTTTACTGCCCAGTGCTCAATACTATGAAAAGCCAAATGCAATATATAGTGGGACGTTGTATTCATTGGCTCGTTCTATTAGTATTTTCATAGTTAATAAGTGGTCAACTCTACTGTATTCTGTATCCTGTAACTGTTTATATATTTATAATTAATTTATTTTTTTTCCTAAAATATTTTGATTAAAAGAAAATATACAAAAGTGGGCAACGCTGTGCCGGTCAAGCTTAATCACATGACTAAAAGTATATTTGGTACCTATGAACTGTTTCTGGATTTTTTTTATGAATTAAATATCAATTTTTGGGTTTTCTAAAATTGATCTCTTATCCAGATTATTTATTATCGAAAAACAAAAAGATTGACTTAAAATACTTCAGTATAATATTATATAACTTTATGTTTTTTTCTCTGTAAGTTAACTATTATTTACCTTTGCCACATCGTAAACAACTTGTGCGTTAGTATTAAACAAATCCTCGCGCTTCATTCCCGGCTTCCTGGGCATTCCTGCCGGAACTACTATAATATCAGCACCTTTTAAAGTTGAACCGTAATCTCTACCGTCGGCATGCGAAACGCTAACAGCTGTTTCTATATGCGATAAGTCCGCAGCAACACCTTGAAACAAGAACGAAAATTATTTGTTGACATGTATCACTAGTTTATTATAATCATATCCTTGTTGGGGTAAATTTACTGACTATTGTATAGCAGTATAAATAATAAATACAAGATATTTTCAGAAATACTTAAAAAGAGCTAGCAACGTTTTCGAGAAAGTATTTTAAGAAAGCTGGGGTGGAACTCTGTAACGAAATAGCGATCGGTAGCGATGAAGAATACTGTCGCTTGCCGTTTAGTTTGTACGGCCAAGGTCAGTATTCTTTATCGCTACCGATCGCTATTTAGTTACAGAGTTCCAGCCCTGGCTCTTTGATATATCTTTTACTGTGCTCTCTGGAACAGCATGCGGTCCATCTGGCTGCCGATACCCGTTGCTTTAACTACTGCGCATCGGAAGAAAATCCTAATTCTAGTATTGAATATAATTCGAACAATTCGTCTCTATAGCGCAGCGCGTAGAGTTTCGGACTACGAAGCGAGGATTCGCGAGGGCAAAAGCTTTTTTATTTTATTTTCGTTTATATTCTGATAGTAAAGTATTAAATGTTTGCTTTTTTTGAATTACCAGAAGTTTTTACCCCGACCCGGTCTCGAACTCTGACTTCTCGCTTGATAGGTAGACCACACCGGTGGAGAGTCTTTATGCCTTATCTGTATATTCTTCCTTGTATCATATCAGGAGAATTCTCCATACTCTTAATTTTGGAATATCCATTAAGTCAAAGCCTTTTTTGATTGACTATGGCAAGTTCTTCGACTTACAAGACACTGAAACGTATACTGTTCATCTAAAATACCAACGCCCCATTAATATAAGATACCACCTATTTTCCTCCCAACAAAGCATTCCTAATATCGTCCCATTGCTGCCAAAAGTCACTAACTTACTTTTTATTACTTCCGAGAAAAATGCGTCTAAAGAAGAATTGCATTGCATAAAGATGTTATAGTTAGTAACTATTCGGTATTAAAATAAAACATAAATAGCCAGAAATCGCAGTTAATGACTTTTGCAATCGATTCTCCGATTCAAAACATAGTTAGTGATTGAATTTGGTTGTTCGGAAAAATGTTAGTTAGTGACTTTTGGCAGCAATAGGACGATATCACAGTTTAAAGAATATAAAATATATCAGTTGACCCACTCTAAGGAATTCTATTGTTATTTTGACTTCAAAGGCGGCCCGTGACCCTTCGAGATGACAAAAAATGTGTACGTTTACCGGGTGCAGCGGAAGTGCTATTTTATCAGTCGGTGTTGTTATCAGTCAGAACGCTTGCTGTATACGAGGGATCAACTAAAAACACTAAGGAATTTTAATACAGCAAGTAGAAAAATAAAAATACACTACTAGTTTTATTGATTAACAGTTTTAGGCGTCTTTAATAATTGATCAATATTTATTTTTCTTCTTATTATTATTTAATAACATATCTCATTGTTTACAAATATAAATACGATATGAATTGAAATGTGAAATAAAAAACGGATTTTAGTTAAGTACATTATCTTATAATACTAATTTATTCATGTTAATTTTCCAACAAAATAATTTACTCATCGTTTTTCCCACGTACTCCTCAATTGTTATATTTACTGTTACATAAAATTTAGTAAAAACTCTAAAAAACTTGTCAATAGCAGAAGAAGTTGTATGCACGTATTTTTATTACATGACGATACAATTTGGACTTTCCAGGTAGGTAGTTAAAGTTAAATACAAACATCTAAAAAGTAAAACATGCTATTTAAAAAAATGCAAATATCTTAAATAATAATTTAATATGCACTTTGCCAAACCGGTAAATACTGCAAAATCCAAAACATAATAGTAAAGTATCTACTACTACCCTAAAATATCTACTAAAATAATAAACTAATTGTTAAAAATAAATATTTTGTGCATATTCCGAGTAAAATCTTTTCTTAATTTATATGTATATTTTTAAAACAATTTATTCATAGTTAGGTTTCCATAATTATAATATACTTAATATGCCTAATACTTTAATTATTATATACTTAATATCCTATACTATATAAACACATACCTTCCTTCATCATTTGGGCACCTAAAGAACGATATATTGTCTGTCATTCTACTTTCAGAACCATCCACTGCACAAATATTTCTAGTAGAAATTTTATTCACAATTCGAACAAAACAACTAAAACACTATTTTTGGTTCACCCTATGCGTCGGGCCGAAAACAAAACTAGAATAAACTTGGAACGCTGTGTACACGTCAAGCAACGGATGTAGACTGACCCAAGTCTACAAGCTTGTCTTGAGACTTGGGTCAGTCTACATCCGTTGGGAGCGGTGGGAGGAATTTTGATACGGGCGAAGAGTGGGTCAACTGATATATTTTATATTCTTTAAACTGTGCTAATATCTAGTATCCACTTTTTCCGACATACTGCCCCCTACATGGAAGGATCCTATTTCAGTTAATATGGAACTTTGTAAATTAAAAAAATCTGAAACATCCAAATATCTTTACAAAACTAGTCTAATACAAATCTTAGACGAAAAATATTGTGCCTATATTTGTTTTTACACAGATGGCCCGAAATCTGACCAAGGTGTTGGCTGTGCTTTTTACAGCCCGGTTGCTAATAAAAAAATCAGATTACCTACCTAATTTCTTTGCAATTTTAACAGCCGAACTCACAGCTATTTATCAGGCTCTTATCCAAATTCAGAGCATGCCACCGATTGAAGCATTAATACTATCTGACTCACTTAGTTCCCTCAACAGTATTGCTTCTTCAAACCCCAAAAACTCTCTAACCTGCAGCATTTGAGATCTAGTATATAAACTTACTGAAAGAAACTACAATGTTAACTTTATGTGGATTCCTGGACTCTCTGACATTGCTAGTAACGACCGAGCAGACAAACTGGCTAACGAGGCAACCCTCTTACATAATATTGAAGGAACCCCATTCGTGGTCGATTTCAGAAATTTCCACAAAAAAGTGTTCTTCAGTATACTTCAAAATGAATGGGACATCCTTGAGGGTACTAATAAACTTAGATCACATATGCCACTTCTTCATCTGTATCTAAATATAGTCTGTCCAACGAGAAGATCCTTGACAGTGATAGATGTGTCTGTCATTTTAATTTCAAAGTAGTTTATTTTATTTTACAAAGAAATAAGTTGGTGCAACTGGAACGCATAGCAGGAAATAAATATATGTATTTAAAATTTGACTGACAAGTAACTTCAAAATATTGTGAAAAATACTGTATATAACTGAAAAAATGTAATCGAGTTATTTTATTTGATAAAAAACGGTATGTGTTAATACAAAACAAACAAAAACAAGACACCACATACCAAAAAATATAAAAAAGAACTATTTCTTACTTTCAAGCTTTATGAAACTTCCCGCATTTATGATTATATTTATCAATATAACTTATGTACAAATACAAATATGTAATATTCCGCAGTGATAAATAAAACAACATAAATAAAACAAACTATTTTATTGATAATAACACTTACCAAATTTTATACCTCACAGGTTGATTAATTAAGTTTAATCTTAATTTTTTTTAACCAGTACCTTTTGACATTATTTTTCTGCAGTACTAAAATCCATTATTTACCTATCGTGTGATGTCGATATTTTACAGCTACTCCAGTTTTTAGTATGTGTTTAGTATGGTCCTTCTACCATATTCAAGATGCACTTATCTACGACGAGATGGTATACGAACTTTATTGATAGTAACTTTATTGGTGTATCTGTATAAGACTTTCTGCCTGGGCAGCGAGTATTAACCATAAACTGTGCTCTGGGTTCTACAGTTAATTTTCACTCGATTTTTCCTCCACTTGACTTCAAAAGACACAAAACACACGTAATAACACGAATCAAAATGCATCATCTTCCAAAACGCAGGGTATTTGACAAAAGTTGTCACAAAATTATAACCTATAATTTGGCAAGACTTTGACAAACGTCAAAAATCTAAAGGCGAGTTCATACGCATCGGCGTCCGTTTGTCGTTCATCGTTCCGTCAAACCAATAAAATTGAAATACGATCTGTCATTTTTGAAATAAACCAATAAAACTGGTTAAAAACAACAAGTGACGACGCATGACGAATTTATATTTAAACCCATCCATGGTTAACTTAAAAATTATTAGAAACTTTTTTTAGTAAAATAAATAGATTGGTATGGGACGTCATCTGCTTTTCTTCTGTCATCGTCTGTCGAAATCTTACCTGAGAAAAAAAAAAAACAGAGTATATATATTCTCTTGAACGCGGATCTTTTTGTAAGGTTGTTACAACCCTCACAGGACACTCATATCTTACCAAATCATATATTATCAGAAATAAACCCCCTCCGAAATGCACCTTATGCAATAATTTAATGTCAATGAGACAAATTCTTTTTGAATGCTTACCTGTTGCCTCCCATAGGTCTAGATTCTATAATGCTGTTACCTTTGAGAACATTTTCGCGCCTTTTAACATTTCGAAGATTAATAAAGTTATGGAATTCTTAGACAGCATCAACATAACGAAAAAACTTTAATTTCTAATAATTTGAAATAACCTCATATTAACTAAAGCTTATTATTGAGTGCTAAAAAACCCTCGCTGTTGACGCGCTCTATAAACCAATACCTCTCTCTTGATAGGCAGAACCTCTACGCGCTGCGCTATGGAGACTCGCTCGGTTTATATTCAATACTAGAATTTAAAGAACTAATAAAAATATAGGATCTTCTTTCAGTGCGCAGTAGGGAACGCAACGTTCACCGGCAGCCAGACGGGCCGCAGGCTGTCCCAGAGAGCATAATAAACGATATATTAAAGAGCCAGTTTTCTTAAAATACTTGTTTTCCCGACGTGCTAGCTCTCGTACTATAATGCCGGGTCCAGACCAAGGCGACAAAAAATAAACACGATTTTGAGACAAAAACAAGACAAACTTGTCACAAAAAACGGAGACTTACCAAAAACAATGATATAAATGGAGATACCTACTCAAATTTTATATTATCATGATACTAAAGGATATAAATACAGCATTTATAATCCTTTACACCTTTATTCTTACACGCTAATATAAAATTTGACTATCTCCATTTATTTCACTATTTTTGGTTATTAAGGGCACTCTTAATTTTAATTTTCCTTTTTAATGGGAAAACGATTAAATGGGGAAGAATTGAATGGGAATGGAAAGAATGACCAATTATTGTATTTTGTATTAATTTATAATACCCCTATTCTACTAAATATCTAGCTACATTGTACTTACAGTTAAATAGCTTACATTGTACTAGTTATGTACATATTTACAGTTTTATGATGGCTATTATTTCTTTTCATCGTGCTATCAATTGATTCGCTCCGACTTGAGTACTATACCTCGAGATGGCTCCAGGAATTATTTACCTTTACAGGCCTAGAATATGAAGATTCACAGTAGAATTTTTGGTTTTACTGCCTATTAGAAACAAACCTACCCCCCTACATCAATGGACATACAATTATGCCTTGTTCTCGGCCATGATATTCCTTCCATTCTATATCCAACATCCAACTTAGCAGACCTTCTGGTTCACAACAGGGCCTAGACTGGTCGGATGATATTTTAACAGAATAGCCCTTGATATCTCTTTCACACTTTCATTTAATAATTAAATAGGAGGGCTGGATGGTATAATTTCTAGAAAGAATAGCCAGTGAAATAAAAACTTAGGCATGGACATTACCTTTCTTACCTTTGTCTGCTATTTTTTAATAAAAAACAACTGTTTAGTTTGCAGAAAAATAAAATTAACAATCAAAAATTTCTTAAAAATGATCAAGCCTTGTACTACGCCGCGTGCCGCTTTTTGAACAAACAACAAACAAAAGAATGAGGTTAGCGGCGTTGCCAATGTCAATTTTCTAAACTACCCAAAAATCTAAATTAAATTCGCCAATTTGGGGGAGAAAAATGTCCCGGTTCACCAAAAATTCCCCATATGATTATTTTAACAAAAAAAATAATTTTAATAAAATACAATATTTATTATATGTTAGAGAGATTAAACTGTAAATTACCTCCTTGTTTTTAATCCCTTCCCTAGTAGTCATTAAATAATTTGAGGTCACTAAATTTTCTTTCAACTGAAGCATTTGCAAAGGGAAGCACAAGTAAAAAGCAGATTATAATTTTTAAGTTGGGAAAGATATATCGTCCCACTCCGTTTTTAAAGCTAAAAATTTTACGCCATTTTCAATCAGCAATAAAATGTTGAAACTCCCCTTATTTTCGCCCCCTATTGCTAAAATCCCCACAAAACTCCCAATCGGCTCCGGATTCCCCAAAATTTGGGGAATTCCCCACAAATTGGCAACGCTGGAGGTTAGCGTGTTCTTTCTGAATATGCTAAGACTAACGGACTAGTGTCGAAACACAGATAGCTAGATGGACATATTTCGGCACTTGCGTCGATGCGCTACAGGTACATTTGCCTGCGCGTCGTATGTCTTCTGGCAGTCTTTTAATTTTTCTGTTTGTCTATGGTGCGCAGTAGGGAACGCAACGTCCACTGGCAGCCAGACGGGCCGCAGGCTGTCCCAGAGAGCATAGTAAACGATATATTAAAGAGCCAGTTTTCTTAAAATACTTGTTTTCCCGACGTTGCATGCTAGCTCTCGTACTATAATGCCGGGTCCAGACCAAGGCGACAAAAAATAAACACGATTTTGAGACAAAAACAAGACAAACTTGTCACAAAAAACGGAGACTTCTGAGAAGACAAACATGAGAAAAATTGTCCATACCACAACGAAAAAATATAACAAAGTCAAATGTTTAGTTGTTGCGAATGAGTTTTATTAACCATGTGTGATTTCACTGGTCTCCTACTATTGGCAGCATATGCCATCCACACTGCGCCGACAACTTGTCGCAAAATATACGGACAAAACGTAGACACTTTGATCTTTACCGACTCGAGACGGGACATTGAAAACTCTCCAAATTTTGAAACAAAACAAAAGTGAGACAAAAATGTTTTTTTAAACTAATTAAAATAACTAATTGACTTTTGGTTCGACTCACCAGGAATATCCTTAAGATCGTGTAACCTTAATTCGCCAATATTTGGATTTAGTTTGAGTAAAAGCGACAGAGGCTGGCCAATACCACCAGATGCACCGATAATGGCTACATTGTGTTTGAAATTTTGTGGAGTAGTCCTTAAAAAGCTTTTCCTAAACAAAAATGATGTACAAATAGATTTTCTAAACATTTTGACAATTTAAATTTAACAAAGTGACAAACATACATAAAAGACTTATAGTGACAAAGGATATGGCATTTCGTCAATTTTAGACATGTATAATTATTTATTGTCAAAAATTTTTAACCAAAAGAATAATTGTGTCATGATATACCGGGTGCGTCTTAAAAGTGGCTCACCTCTATAACTTTTATATTTTTTTAGTTAAAAAAAAACGAGATTTAGTATGTTAGTATATGATATATTTTAGGATTGATTGATGTATTCAATTGTTTTTGGTCACTTCCTGTTTCACCGGAAATGACTACAACTTTTGATTCTTAAATGGCGCCCTCGGTATTTTTTTACTTTATTCGATAGAAAATAACACTCTGAATAGAATGACGTATCATACGTCAACCTTTGACATTTTCGCATATTGTTTATTTGAAATTATAACTTGCGGTTCGTAACGAAAATTTGACTCGAGATACCAACTGTGTGGTATCAAAGTATTGGTAAAAAAATGCTTTTTTTAAATCTACTAATGAGCCACCCTCGTTCAATTTGAAAAAATTGAGATATGAAAAATACGATTTGAGCATTTTCTAACTGACCAGGACAAGATCAAATCCATTTTCCAAGGCTCATTGATTAACAATTAGTGTTTTTAACATAGCCAGGACACTCTAGATTGAATTTAGAATACTTTTTTTTACTCTAGAATAGTTTTCCGGATACACGCAGTATTATTTCATATGGCGCTTTCAATGGTAAAATGCGAGATAAAAATCATTCGGTGGCTTTGATGAACATTTACTGTAGAAAATGCTATATGAAATACAAAACCGGGAATATCTACGAAAATTTTTGAAATACTCAAAATACAAAAAATGTTCATTTTTTAATTCTCCATCTATTGAAAAAATAATATACAGGGTGTTCCATTAAAAAAAAACGAAGAAGAATTATTTTATATTTTAGAAAGTTTGGCGTAGAATTTTGAACATCCTGTATGATTTACGATTTCCATATTTATAGCAAAGTAAGGACAGACCATCTAAAGTAAATATCTAATATAGTTTTGATTTCAGGACAGTTCTTGTATTATTATAATTTTTTTAGGAAAGGATGAAAAATATATAATTTTTATTTATTTATTAATATCTCTGAAATTATCGAAATATATTTACTCATGTTTTGAGATTATGTAAAGTGATCTGAAAGAAAGCCAAAAATGCAAAAATATACAGGGGGTTCCATTTAAATAAACCATCCCGATCCACTCACACTTTTTTGAGCCACCCTATAGAAGTTAAAATGTTTTCCTGAAATACATCCTAGTACATAATTTAGGTATGCACTTAAACAAAATTCCCAGGTTTTTTATTCTAGGAGCTACAGATGCCCGACGCACTATTGCCGGACTCTGTAGATCCGTAAAACTTCATTTTTTTTGACACTCGTTTAATTTTTTTTTAGGTTGTCGATGTTGATATTTTAGTAGTTTTGTGTAAAGCAAAGAATACATGGTGTAATTTAAAAGATGGTTATTTTCTTCTGTGGGTGTAAAGGTGGGTGCAGCGTAAGAGGATACGTTTAGTGTAAAGTCATGGATGTCATACTATATTGACAGTGATGCATTCAATCCATCGTTCGATTTCCTTTGTCGAATTTGCCGAAAATCGATTACCGAACTCGCCGGCATGGAAAATAGTTTTTACGTCCAAAGGTAAAACTAAATAATTGGTATTTATGCGGTTAAAAGCCAGAATATCGGCCTTGTTTGATTTGGCGATTGCATGCGGTGAATCCTCATAGCTGTACGCAAACAGGCGGCGCGCACAGATATACGGAGTGATTGAATTAGGGGTGGGCAAATAAACAGCCGTTCGTAATTCTCAAATATTGGTCCGCTGACCTGTCGCAGGAAACGCGATTAATGCGGGACGCTGTAGTCGATAATTCTGCCGTGTATCGCCTTTGAAGAATAAAGAGAGCAAATTTAATTAAATCCTGTAAAAAAATGGCAGAGATGCAATCTCTTTAATACGATTACTAAATTTTTTCAACTTACAATTTATATTCTTAAAAATTGACTACTAACCCCCTTCCCTAAAATTTAGTTTTTTAATACTTTAATACACTCACAGGCACGAAAACCGGCCACCTTAAAATTTTGATGTATTTTAAAGTTTATTATTAAAAATGAAAGTTACCGTCTGTCAATTATACGAGGGAAAACAAAATGTTGATATTTTGGTTAATGTTTGAAACACCCTGTGGACTATGTTAAGGCAACAAAGAAATTAAACATCATTTCATCACCTAGATACATCCTTTCTTGATAGTTTATTTTTTAGTTCATCTCAACATCTTTACTTTTATTGGAGATATTCGCTTTTGAAGAAGACAAGTGGCGTAACAACAGACTCACGGGCCTGTGTGCAATAATTTTACCGGGCCCCCTATTACACCTACATATTTCAATACTTATATACTAATCTGAATAATATACACTCATATTTTAGGTTAGAAACAACATTATCAAATTAATTTTTATATAGTATTATTTATTACTGCAACACAGAATATGTAACCCAAAACATATAAAATATCAAATAAATAAAAAAAAATAAAAACTAAACAAAAAACAACAACAAAACTAACTAGATTAAAATAAACAATGTAAATAGGAACATGAACATGTTAAAATTCTTTTTTCCTTGGTTTAGTATGAGCGAAAGTTGACACAATATTACCAATGTCCAGCCAATTTCCCAGCCAACTGGACGCCGTTTTTTTTTCGATCATACGGTATTTCTTAAACAATTTTGGACAAGCTTTAATTTGAAAAAAGATCTTTCAGCCGAGGCCACAGAAACAGGTATGGTGAGAAAAATATGAAACGCTGTTAAAATCTCGCTTAAACTAGAAGACGATGAAAGGTTTTTAATTAAATTAAATTTAGTGAGTTTAAAAATGCAATTGATTTCATATAAATTATTTCGGAAACATTGCCTGAAGGAGAGTAATTGAGAAGAAATCGTATAGGCAATATCATCGGGGTATTTAAGGTATAGAACCTGACCCATTTCATTTATATCCTCATCAGAAACAGAAGGATTCTGCTTGTTTCGCGATAGCATCGATAGTTACGCCACTGAAGAAGACATTAACATTTTTTCCTAATTTTTACATTAAAACCATGTCTTTCATTAAAGTCTGGTCTAAGTTAACCGACCTAGTAAGTTGTGGTCTAAGACCTTCTCAACATAAGATTTGCTTTATTTAATCTTCTTCCTACAGTCTGCTTAAGTGTAGCACTATAAATTTGAAAAGCTTGCAAACGACCGTTTCTTTCAAAGAGTCGGTCGTCTCGATTCGAAGTTCTCATACGAAGGTTTCCGGACGTCTATAGCATATGAACTTTCCTCAAGGAAGCGACTGCACTGTATGGTGTAAAGAAGAAGTTATTAAAGAGTCAAAAAGAGTTGAAAAAAACGAAAGTACCCAGGTCAGAAATTATCAGAAACCAAGTGAGAGATAACTTACTAACCCTTTATCATGATTTTATTTTTACTGTAAATAGTTGCTATAACGATCTTGATGATATCAAATATAATAACAATATAAAACCATTATTTAATATTATACGAGATAGAGTTGTTAGGTCTTACCAAGTTTTGCGCGTTGACTATAAAATCCCTACTCACGTTTTGAGAAAAATTGATCCCAAGATAAAAGACGAGTTATTTTTTGTGGATCTTACCGAAGAAGACGACTCACCTAACAGTGACGATAACATACAAATTAAAATAGAGCAACCAATTCCATTAGATTTCATCATGCCTCTTACTGGCCCTGAATTTTTCAATCTCGCTAGCAAAATAGTACCCAATGAGTTCGATCGGTCTGAAGATAAGCTAACCTCATTTTTAGACGCCCTTACACTATTAAAGGCTAATGTGGAAGCACACGAAGAAAATGCTGTTGCTTATGTCAAAACCAGGCTAACAGGTAAAGCAAGATATTTAGTAGGAGAAAATGCCACTTTGGATGAAATTAAGACTAAATTGAAGAATGGCATTAAATTTGAAAGCTCCCAATCGGTCACCTCTAAAATGCTTAATCTCAAACATCATAATGGTACAAAGTATATGGCGTGCGACATCATTTTGATCTCTATCATCTTCAATTTAAAGCAACTATAGCAGATACAACTTCTAGACTTAAAACCAACTCTCCTAGAGTAACTGCCCAACAGCCAACAGGGCCCAACAGACAATAATAATATGATTTACCATTTTTTTTATAGATGGGAAACGCCATTTACAGCCAGAGTGTGGGGGTCACCTCTCACCCGAGTCATACCCACTAAAAACCCATCTGTAGAGTTACCTCTCCAATCTCGGAACCGCCTTGCGGCATTACTTCAAGACTGGAGATTGTTTCGCCACTTATGTCTGTGTCTGCCAAATTTTTATCTTTTCATCTTCCTGTTTTTTAAGCATGATGGCTCTCATCATCCTGGTGATTGCTTCACAGTTCTCTCTATTTTCCATCATAAGCTCGCCGACATTTTCCCTTGTTATTTTAACCCTGCATATTTGTTCCGCCGATGCTCTAGTCTCCAAATGCCTACTACACTCGAATAATGTGTGATTGGCCGTGTCTGATGCTTCACAATACCAGCATTTTGTGGATTCTGCCTTAGTTATTTTAAACAGGTACTCTCCAAAAGCACCGTGCCCTGTCATCGCCTGGGTGATGTAATAGTCCGTTTTCGTCCACATGTTGTTTATCCAAACCCTCACGTCCGGGATAAATATCTTAATTCGACCCTGGTATGCCTCCCATCGGTTCTGCCATTTGTCCAGTATTATCTTCCTGGCCTCTGATCGATACCCTGAGCCGTGTCTGTATATTAAATTTCTTTCCTCGATTTGTAGGATAATTGGGGGGATTTTTGCTAGAGCGAGAACAGCTCCTAACTGTACGATACGCCGACACTACGCGTAGGGCTAGCATTCTGTTAATTTTCTCGAGGACTTTTTCATAATATTTATAATCTGTTGCC